TACCTGCCCTGACCTGCGTTGAGTTAGAGTTTTAATTTCAGGCCATCCTACGTGGTTACTCGAGTCTCTGAGTTTGTAAGGCCGCCACGTAGGCCTCCCCCGAGCTCGCTAGGTTTAGCGCGTGGCCCTTTTTGTTCGTGGGGAGAATCAGTCCCACACCCCTAGTCTCTGCATTGGTCCAGGGTGGCGATCCCCCCGATGACTGGTGGTCTGGACCCGTGAGCACTTTTCCCTCATTTCTCCACATGGTTATCTCTAGGATTTCTCTGTGTCTCCAGGCATGGACGTACAACTGGAAAATTCAAGTTTAATGGCCCAGGCTAATGAAAGCAAGAATGAAACCAGTTCCTGAGACCTCGGCCTACCTGGCTTCAGTAATTCAGAAACACGGTGACCTCATGTTATTTCTGCATTTTTTCCTCAAAGGTCACACAGTGGGCGGAGGCGCAAGCTCCAAACGCAGGTGTTTGCCCCTGACGCTACCCCCAGGCTCCCTGCGGACGGGGCTGGGGGAGGGCCTGTGCCGTCAGCCCGCAGCCAGGACACGTGAGCATCCAGATCACCTGCATGCAGAGAGCTTCTGGGCCCTAGGCCCCACCTGCACCCCGAGGCCCTTGGGCTGCCTGGGTGATAGGAGGGGACCACCAAATCAGACCACACTTGGGCTTAGAGACTGAGCCTGCTCGGTCCCTCACCTAGACCGGGGGTGGGGCCGAACCTGAGCTCTGTGCAACGGATCCATGTCATTTTGTAACCCGATCGTACGCACGGAGGGTTTCAGCCCATTGGCCTCTCTGCGCTCACATCAATATTTTAAGGCTCAGAACTGAAGTGGGGCGCCTGGTCCCGGGTGGAGCTGGGCGCTGCTTCTCCAGCTGCCTGCTGAGCCCCCACTGGGCCAAGCGTCTAGGGCTTCCCGGGCCCCGGGAGCTTCGTGCAGAAGGACGAAGTCCCCCTGCATTCAGAGGGAGGGGCCCTGGAGAGTCCCTGGGTTCCGGTTCCTCACTCAGCTGTCTGCTCTGGACAGATGGGTTCATCTTCTGGGGAAGCTCGGCCTTCTCACCTGGGAGACGCAGTGCTAGTTACACTGACCTCACTGAAGGTCCTGAATATTCAAAGGTGCTGGATGTGCTACAGGGCCGGGCACTGGCCTCCTCTGGCCAAGCGCTTGACAAGTGGTCCGTCCGTTGGGGGCTCACTCCCAAAGCCCTTCCTTGGAACAGGCCTTGCAGCCGGAGTTGGGGGCGGGGCTGGGGCCCATGGGTGGACCCCTCTGTACCCTGGTGGAGGACCCTGGTCTGCCCAGTGGCCCTGGAGAGCCCCTGAGGCCAGACCAAAGGAACCAGTCTGAGGGAATGTCAGGGACTTCCCAGCCTCCCCGCTCCCCCTCCCTCCTGAGCCCCGTGGCCCACGCCCTCTGTGCCTGCTCTCAGAATCCAGCATCCATCAGAGAGCTTTCAGAAGATTGTTTTCTTCTGTCCTAGAAGTAAAGCTCTGGTGTGGGACACCCTCTCCCCGGCACCAGTGACTGCCACAGCGAATTCCTCTCCAAGCCACGGGAGGAGCCACTTCCACCCGCATGGCAACATTCTGGTGATCAGAATGCACATTCCAGTTTGAATTATTTTCTTACACAATGTTGCCTTTCCAGGGTGAGTTGCTACAAGTGTGTGTGCATTCGTCACCGAGTGCCAGCTGTGGGCACAGCACACTCCTGTCTCAGCCACCGGGGGCTCCTGCCCGCTGGGCCCTGTGGCAGAGAGCAGACTGTGCCAGGTCCCCAGGCTCCTGGAGGTTCCAGTCTGGGAGTGGGGGTGGGGAAGAGAGAGACAATACACAATAAACAAACAAACAAATGAGGTGGGGGAGCGGGGGGGGGGGCTGGGCAGTGTCGCTCTTCTGGATGGGAGCAGGAGCCAGGCACAGCAGCTGTTTTCCTCTCCATCCAGTTGTGAACAGAAGGGAAGCAACGCAGTAGACCCAACAAGCCCTGGGGCTCCCTAGCAGGCCTGGCAAGCTCAAGAACCCTAAGAACGGTCTGATCACAGATTCCTAACTGGGTGGGCCACGGCGGGAGTTGCATCCAGGCCTGTAGCTTCCTTAGCGAAGGTTCATCTTCACCCTAAGTGAGGCAGTCCGTTGTTCTTATTCTTCTAGGACAACACACCTTTGAGTTGTTTGAGTAATTTCCTTTTCCAGACCCTCAGGGCGCAACCAGCTGCACCGGAGCACAGACCCCACGGAACCCTGAGACCACGGAACTCCTCGTTGTTACCTTGGTGCCCGCACACCGCTTCCCTGTGCCGTCAGCGTCAACCGTCCTGTGCCTGCCAATGGGAAGGAAGGATGTCTCTCCCTTTTACCCAATCCTGGAGAGCCCCTTGCTTTGCTTTCTCCCACCCCCTCAATCTACCGCCCATGGATTTCATATGACCACCTTATGTCTCCTTTCACTCTAATGTATAAAACGAGCTGCAGAACTGCCATCCTCCAGAGCATTCCTCAGTCTGTGGAGACCTTGCTGCGGGAAGGTCCTCAAAAATTTGGCTCGAATAAATCGTTTGTTTTCTGTAGGTGTGGACGTTCTTCTCTGGGCACAGTGCTGCTGAGCGCTGTGGCTGGCACTGGGCAAATGTGCAGAAAATGAACCCTTCCCACCAAGTTCAACGTGGCCTTGTTGAACTTCCTCCTGACACACCAACACGTGGGCCAGGGATCAAGGTCACTTCCAGCCTTCTCCAACTAGAGGTAATGTGACACGGGCGTTTTTCTGTGTGGGGCATTTTGCTTCCGATGAGGACTTCTTTTCTTGGGAGAAAACCTTGAGAATGGGGTTGGCAGCTTGAGTCCTAAGCGTATGTATCGCTCTCGGTTTCTCCTTTTGGAAAAATAGTGTGTGTCTGGCACTTTTCCTGAGCACCTACTATGTTCCAGGCCTTGCCTTCATTCTACACCCCCCCCCTCCCCAGATGACTCTGGCAGGTTGGTACAATTATGCCCAATGCAGAGGTAAACAGCAGGAGGCTCTTGCCTGCCTGGTAAATGCCTTTTCGGTCTATCAAAGCCCTGCTCCAGCACCCCTGGGGAGGCTCACCCTACTTCCACTAGCAGTCTTTTTTCATGTAAAATCTATTATTTTAGCATTACTATATGCCGAGCTTCCTGGGTTGCAGTCTGGGCCACCAGCCGGGTGGTCTGGCCACAGCCCTGGGGGCAGGGCCTGATTTCAGTCTGACTGCAGGGAAGGGTAGTTCAGTGACCATTTGGAAGCAACGCTCTTCCCGCAAAGGGGCCAGGACACCCGCCTAGCCTGTCCCTTAGCCGAGGACTTTGGCCTAGGCATGCAGCCTCTGAGTCTACACATCTATTAAATGAAAGCAATAACAGATAACATGTTTCCAACATCTTTAATGAGGTAACCTCTTACTCCCACAGGGAATCGCAGTCCCATGAAGGCGCCTGTGGTTTCTAAGAGCCCAAACCAGCAGACACCAGAACAAGTTATTCCGAGTGAGAGGCCCAGCCCCTACCTCCAGTGCCCCCTCCTCCTGGCCAGATTGCTGGCATTCCTGACGTGACCGGGCTGGTGCCAGAGTGCAGTGGAAGGGCCGGCCATGGGCAGGCCCCACCTCCCTGCTGCTGGCTGGTATTTTTAGACAAAGTCCTTGGCTACCTTATCTAAATGGCCAGAATGGAGGCCTTGATTTCCCGGGTTTTCAAATATCCAGTGGGGCTCCCACCCCACCTCCCCCTTAAACGCCTGGGCCGCTCCGTGGCTTGGCCCAGGGCAACGTCAGGTCGGGTTCCACAGCTGTCTAGTCAGAAGTCCTCTTTCATTATAACCCTTTTGTTCAATGAAGACCATTTTTTTCTTTTAGCAAGTTCAGCCAAGTGCACGCTATATAAACAGAGATTTTTGCTGGAGCATACTGGGAAATTCCTACATTTCCTGTGTACCAGGTGCTGAATTTTCTAAGCAGCCAGGGAAACCTCTTGCCCATCCCACGTCCTGTAAAACAGGATTTGTAATTTTCATATTTATCTGTACCCCCACTTAACTTCCAGAAATGATTGGGGTGGCCGGATGGAAGAATGAAGGACACAGGGTGGTTTGAGGCAGACAGGGGCATGGGCCCACGGACAGAGAGGTGCGTTAGTCACGGTCACGGGGCTGCCTCCCGTGCAAGGGCGGGTGGGGCGGTGTCCACAAATCCAGCAGTCCTGTGGCACTCACCTTTGCCCCGTGTTCCGGGATGCTGACGCGGCCCTGCTGTGGGATGCCCCCCTGCGCGCCCCAAACATCTAGGGCCCGGCGTCCTCAGCACCACGGATAGGGAAACTGAGGCTGCAGCCGGCTGTACGGCCTGGAACCGGTCCCCTCTTCCCCCTTTTGGGCCTCTGTTTCTGACCCGGCGACAATCATTTCTCTGTCTCCGGCTGGAAAGGGGCTTGGCCGCGCCTCTTACAGAGCTGATCCCGGGCAGGGAAATGTTTAAAATCGCCCCCACAGAGCTGCAGACGAGGTGCCTCGTCCCAAGGTCATGCAGAAAGAGGAGCCAGCCTCCGGGCATCAGCCTCCTGCATGCCCTGCGCGCCCGGCGCCGGCCTCCTCGTCCTGAGGATCCAAGAAATCCAAGCAAAGTTTCAATCCCAGAGGCAAGCCCAGAGTCCGCCCCGCCACCCCCAGGCTCACAGGCCACGCCGGCCAGGACCCCAGCTCTCCGCCCCAACCACCTCTTCCGGAGCCCCCAGTGCCCGGCACGCTTCTCTCAGTCCCCAGGACCCCCGCGCCGCCTACTACCTCCCCACCGCCCCCCCCAGGCCCGCCCCCTACCCCAGGCCACAGAGGAGCCTGGAGCCGCCAATGAGGAGGCGGGGTCCCGAGGGCGGAGGCGGTTGTGACGCGCCAGGCCGGCGGGCGGCGGCCAATCAGCAGCGAGCTCGAGGGCGGGCAGTGACGCGACGGGCGCTCCGCGTGCGGCGGCGGCGGTATACCAGCAAGCGATTCGGCCAGCACCGCCAGCCGAGAGCGCCGCCGCCGCTGCGACCAGCCGCTCGCCGTCTCTGCGCCACCGCTGCCTACCGGTGCCCGCCCGCTGGTACCCGCCCGGCGCGCCCCCCACCACCGCTACCACCGCCGCCCCCCGCCACCCGGTCTGCGAGCGCCCCCCGCTCCGGCCTCCTTGAGGGGGGTCCCCCGGCCGGACCGTGAGCCTCGTCTTCTGCCGCTTCGGCCGCCCGCATCTCCTCCGCCGCCTGCCTGGCATGAAGACCAAGTTCTGCAACGGGGGCGAGGCGGAGCCCTCACCGCTCGGGCTGCTGCTAGGCTGCGGCAGCGGCAGCACGACCCCCGCGCCCGGCGTGGGGCAGCAGCGCGACGCCGCCAGCGACCTGGAGCCCAAGCAGCTGGGCGCCCGGCAGCCTCGGCTCGCGCTGCCCGCGCCGCCGCCCCCGCCGCTGCCACTGCTCCCGCCGCCGCCGCCGCCACCACCGCCAGCCGAAGAGCAACCGGAGCCCCGGACGCGGCGTAGGGCCTATCTGTGGTGCAAGGAGTTCCTGCCCGGAGCCTGGCGGGGCCTTCGCGAGGACCAGTTTCACATCAGTGTCATCAGGTCGGTGGCAGGGTGGGGGTGGGGGACGTGGCCAGCGGCTAGAGGGTCAGGTGACGCTATCCGGGCAGGGGCGCGGGGGCAGGCGAGAAGAGCCACCTTTCCCGAACGCTTGTGAAATCCAAGCCAAATCTCGCGAAATAGGCCCGCGGCGGCTCAAGACCTCCCAAAAGGCAGGCTTTTCAGTTTCATGGGAAAACAAGTCTTTTCTAAGGAGGAACAATACCGTTCCATCACGAAGTACGTTTTGTGCAGAAGCTTACGATATGTCTGGAAAGTCCGTTTGCAGTTTAGGACTCGAAACGAAGGAGTGATGTTATGGCTGGATTTTAAAAAAATCACGTGATGACTTACATTTCTAGTTTCTCGAGTCTGTGATATGATTTTTTTCCTCTTTGAAAGAGTCGTTTGTTAGTGGCCAAGGGGGAACGTTTGCTCATTCCCCACTGACACTGTTCGGGCACGTTAGGTGTGCTGATGGACGAAGGTGGGAGGTGTGGCTCCAAAAATAACTAGGAGTGAAATAGAATGTTTCCCCCATATTTTAAGGTTAAAAGTTTGTAATCACAGATTTTAATTTAACCATAAATATGTGTGTGTATATTCACACTTAACAGGAACACGTAAAGACCCCCTTGATTTCCGTCTCCTTTCTGTTTCCTTGAGATAAACATTTAGCATTTCGTGTGGGTCCTTCTGTTTAGACCTTTAAAACTGTGTTGTGTTTTTCTGTGAGTGTTATTTTATTAGTATCTTTTAAAATTTTTATTTCTAGAGAGAAAAACATCGATTTGTTGTTCCCCTTATTGACGCATTCATTGGCTGAGTCTTGCATGTGCCAGTCTCCCAGGGGATCGAACCTGCAACCTTGGTGTGTGGGGAAGATGCTCTAACCAACTCATCCACCAGGCCAGGGCCAGGTTTTCTTTTCAGTGGCTGACCAGGTTGAGGGCAGCATCTAGCAACTGGCTGGCTGGCTGCCACGGATAGTCCCCAAACCCACTTGCAGTCACTTGATTCCTCGTCTGCGCCCAGCCTTTCACCAGAGCTGCAAGTGCAGCAAGATGAACTGAGCGGCACTTCCTTTCTGAGCCCTGGCCTCTCCGCAGACAGGCCTGGGAGCCGGGGGCAGGGGCAGAGGCAGTTGGTAGGAGGCAGAGGAAAGAAAGCAAAGGTGGTTGGATAGTCCCTGAGTCGTTTTTTCACTTCAGCTTGTACTTGTTTATTGCTGGCATATGGGAAGGCGATGGACCTTTTTAAATTGATTTTGAGAGAGAGAGAAATAAACAGAGAAGTAGAAATGTCGCTCTGTTCCCCTTATTTATGCACTGATTGGTGGTTTTTTATTTGTGTCCTGACCGGGTATGGAACCTGAAACCGTGACGTATGGAGACAGCATTCTTAGCCGCGCCGGTTGGCCAGGGCGAAAGCGACTGACCTGTACGTGTTAAATCTTGCATCAGTTGCGTATCAGTTCTAGGAGGTGTCTTTTTTTCCAGCCTAGTCTCTTGGTTTGTCCAGCTCTGGAGCTGATGCCCACGTTCTCTTTCCTGTCCCTCCACAATCCCACCGCCCTCCTCCGGCCGCAGGGGACCTGGCACTGCCCCGGCACTGCCCCGTCTGCCGCTGTCCTCGGGTCTGTGCGGCGTCCACAATGCGGTTGTAGTCTCCAGGGCTTTCATGACGTGTCCACGCGCTTCACCGTGCCTGGGGCTCCTTTTGATGAGGGTCAGGGTAGCGCAGCAGCTGACGATGAGATAATCGGAAAGGTAAGGTCTGGCCCGGCCCTGGGTGGCTGGAGGGAAAGGTCACTGGTTCCTTTCCCGGTCCGGGCACGGGCCTGGGCTGTGGGTTTGGTTCCCTGTTGGGGCGTGAGTGGGAGGCAGCTAATTGGTGTTTCTCTTGTGGATGTTTCTCTCTCTGTCTTTCTGCCTCTCCTCTCTCTAAAAGTAAATAAAGTAAAATGAAAAACAACAAGATAAGGATCGGGAGGTGTGTGGGGGCCAGAAGGGGTGTGCCAGCACTTTGTGGAGGGAGGAAGCGGGGGCATCCCTGAACTCAGAGGTGGACGACCTTTCGGGTGGGAAGAGTAGGCAGCCGCGAGCTGTCTTCCAGGGACGCTGAGGATAGTGGCTTGAAGTGAGCGTTTCAGGAACACTTTCTAAGGACGTTTGATCACGTCAGGACGCAGTTTTGGTTGTCACGTTTGGTGGTGGAGATACTACCATTACCCAGTGGGTGCGGAGCAGGAATACCGCGGGACATCCCCCTTGCATGGACGGCCCCTCCTCCTCCTCTGACCAAGAGGTATTGGCCTCGAATGTCAACAGCACCGAGGTTGAACAGCCCTGGAGCCCAGGGCTGAATTTGAGCTTTACTCTCTCATCCATCTGGCATTCCCGGCAAGATTAACCTTTGATGCCCTGATGGGTGCGGCCCAGTTGGTCGAGCCCCTGAAAGGTCGCTGGTTCGATTCCCTGTCAGGGCACAGGCCTGGGTTGTGGGCCAGGTCCCCAGTTTGGAGTGTGTGAGAGGTGGTTGATCGGTGTTTCTCTCTCAAATCGATGTTTCTCACACTCACTCTCCCCCACCCTTCCCCTCTCTCTAAAAGTAAATACAATCTTTAAAAAAAATACATCAGCCTTTGCTTTGTGTTAGTGCTGGCAACACACAGCTGATGTCACGTGGTGTACGTAGTACACCCTGTTGGGTGCGTTGTATCACAGTGAGAACATTCACGTCCACCCCGACTGGGTGCGCTGCATTTCGGCGGGAGAACGGGCTTGGCTTGGAGGCCCGCGGCAGCCTGCTCCAGGCCCCGCGGCCGCCCGCAGAGCCGGCGGGGGCCTGTTCCTTTCACCTGAGTTCTGCGATCGCTGCTGTCATCTTCCTGAAGTGGTTTTCACGTCAGCTGAGCCGTGGTGGTTTCAGGTTGCGTTTTGGATGGTTGTAAGAGATTTCCCCGAAACCCCCTTTTCCTTATTTCGCTCGCACTCTGAATTCAGGGGCCGTTGTCACGCCGCCTTCTGTCTTCCAGACAGACACCTGGTCCTTCGCGCCTGAGGGCAGCCTTTTCCTGCTGAGATGCTGTTTGTGCCGTGGGCTTTGTTTTCTTTCCCTATTCGTTTGGACTCTTAGGCGATGCTCTTGAACCTCCAGGGCCCTGAACTTGAGGGGGCTTGGTGCTGTGTGTGCCAGGCTCGATCCGTGTTACTTGCGGGCAGTTTGCAGTGGTTTCGGTGCCTTCTCCGGTTTTCAGCGAAACATCGCTGGTTGCTGCAGACCAGGTGACTTAGCAGTTGAAAACCTTTGCGGTAAAGGATTCTCTGGAGCAGGTGGTTTCTTGGGGTTACCATCGAGCAGACTCTCCTAGATGACGAACTCTTTCGCAAATGGTCACAAATACAGATGTTTCTGATGGATGAGTAGATGAGTAAATGGGACATTTGGATACAGTGGACTATATTGTTCAGCTTTACAAAAGGATATTCTGACAGCTGCTACAACGGGGATGAACTTTCAGGACAGGACCTTCAGGTGCTAAGGAGAGTAGGCCAGACAGAAGGACAAGCACTGTATTGCCCTGTGAGAGGTCCCTCGAGCCGCATTCACGGAGACGAAGTGGACTGGCGGATGCCCGGGGCGGGGGAGGGGGGAGCGGGGAGTCAGGAGTGCAATGGGCACAGCGTTTTAGGGTTACGAGGTGAAACACAGCTGTGCGGACGGATGGTGGGGGTCACTGCACATAGAATGTGATCGCTCTTAGTGCCCCCGCACTCTACACTTAAAAATGGTGAAAGTGGTAGATTTGTGTGATGGGTATTTCACCACGGCTCAGAAATTGGAGGAAACACAGAAATGTCATATCTCGGGACTGGGGCGCTCTGCTGGTGTATCACTGTAGCGTGGGTTCGACGGACTGGGAGCCCTGGGAAAGGGAGACGGAGACCACGTAACCTCTGTAAGGCCCGCCAGGGCTGCCAGTGAAGGATGCAGGCCATCTGTACAGCGATTGAAATACACGTTGCTAAAGTAAAAGTTGTATCATACAGGAAACCACTATCTAGTAAAGTGATTTTACTCCAGAACTTTTAAAAAACATTGTCTGTGAGACAAAGACTTGCAGACATGGAAGCCACTCCTGGAGGTAAACATACACACCAGCTCAGACGTTCTGTCTTGTACATTTGCTCTTACACACCAGCTCAGACGTTCTGTCTTGTACATTTGCTCTGTTATTTTTAAAGATTTTATCTACTTATTTTTAGAGAGAGGGAAAGGGAGGGAGAAAGAGAGGGAGAGAAACATCAGTGTGTGGGTGGTTCTCGAGCGCCCCCTACTGGGGACCCGGCCCCCAGCCCAGGCACGTGCCCTGACTGGGGATCAAACAGCCGACCCTTTGGTTCACAGGCTGAGCTCAGCCCACTGAGCCATACCAGCCAGGGCTACATTTGCTTTGTAACGTGCAGTTACAACTTGTTCTTCAGCAAAATTACCAGCTGCTTCCTATCACAGACTGCACACTCGATGCCTAGGGTGTTACGTTCACAAGTGCTCAGGACGTCTCCTGTGCATACACCAGCTCCCTGAGGCCGGTGCGGTGAGGTGGGCCACGTGACACAGCTGGGGTAAATCACGTCTGCCAGACCATTGGTTTTTTTCTTGTGGCTGAGGTTTGGATGACGTCATCAGCTCAGAGTTGACTTCCTTGTACAGGTGGAGTAGATTTACAGTCCTTGTGAACCTTTCAGAGCAGCCCAAGTCGAACAGTCTCACAGCCAACACCCAGTGGTGTGGTGTTCAGTGTTTCGGGTTAGGTGGGTGAGTGGTCAGTCTGGAGGGGTTTGTGAAGTGGCCTTTATGCCCCTGGTGCGTGCCGTGAGACCAGAACGACGGCATGACGGCTGGTGCGGGAGGGACGAGTTTGGGGCGGGGCTGTGCTGTCCGCCCTGAAGGACTGAACCTGCGAATGAGTGGAAGTGGGAGGATCTTCTTTGACAGCC